TATTAATGTAGCAGAAATGCTGCTGTTCTCTTTAAACTAAGTGTTTCCTGATGCTCACATTAAGCATAAAATAGAGCATGCATGTTTTTGGAAAGGACCAATGACATCAGACCAATAGTGTCCCTACCAAAGCTGGAATCAAACCTACGCCCTTCATCCTCCTGATGTGAGGTGGACCTCCGTGGCCTGCAGGGGTCCATCCTCTCTCCAGGTTCAGAGGATGAACTGACCAGAGCTGAGTGAGATGTTCTGGAACCTGTCCAGGCTGTAAGGTTTCCTTGGTGATGATGGTTGATCTCTGAGGCAGAACCAGAAGATCGGGATGGTTTTATTATTATTTAGAGGCGTGTAGAGGATCTATCTTATCAAAGATGGGGGGTGGGGGGGTGGGTGGGTCAGAAAGGTCTGTGCATCTGTACCTGCAGGAGACTCAGTAAAGTGGGCCATGGTTATTCACCATCACGCTGGTTCCCTGGAGACCACAGGAATGTTCACATTCCGTGAAAATCCCCCAGGACTCGAGTCTTCTGAATCTCTGCTTCCCTCCTCTTCTATTTTCGCTCATCCTTCCCTCTGTGTGTTTTATGGTGGCCTCTCGGTCCCCAGCCTTCCCTGCTCTGCTTCAGTCTCTCTGCTGGATGCTAATTTAAACTTCCTTCCTGTCAGCCTCCTCCTGCACCACTTTTTCAACTTTCCACTTTTTCTCAGGGTGGACCCGATGCCCCACGACGCCCCCAAACCACCGGGCTACACCCGCTTTGTTTGTGTGTCGGACACTCATTCGCGTACCGACGCCATCCAGATGCCCTACGGAGACGTCTTCATCCACGCAGGAGACTTCACGGAGCTGGGCCTGCCCTCTGAGGTCAAGAAGTTCAACGACTGGCTGGGTGAGTAAACGCTGCTAATGCTGTCATCTCTGAGTTTGATGCTTCTCATGGTTTGGGTTCTAAACCAGGAAGCAGCTAAAACCCTGCAGAAACACAATCATTGTCTTAATGTTGAGTTTATCAAACGGCTCACGGCATAGAAATAGAAACTACAGTTTCTCATCATCAGGTTCATATGAATTTAGCTTTTTAGTTCTGACTGATCTAGATCTATAAGGTCCACTGATCATTACAGGTAGACACGCTATAAAAAACTGAAACCTTCTTGGATCATTGACCAGAACCCTTATATATTAATATCATCAGCAGCATCTCCAACCAGAACCATGAGCTCCGCCAGGTTCCACCCCTCAGAACATCAGTACCTGAGTTCTGGTTCTGATCCAGGCATCCTGTGACATGTGTTCAGCTCCTTCTATTATTTACATTCTATAATTTGTCCTTTATTATTTTTGGGCTTTTGTCGGAAAGAAGTAATTCAGTGACTCTGAGGGTCAGAGTTTCCTGTATCAGACTGATTCACAGTTGGATCATACAAATAAAATGTTTAAATGTGGGCGTGGCTGATGTACCGGCTTGTTTAGGTCCCGGTGGGAATAGTTTGCACTAAAACGTCCGTTTTTTCCTTTGTTATTTGATCAAACTTTGCCAAGAGCTCTACTAAACTGGCATCAGAAATCTCAGCAGATGAGTCGGAATGGCAGATGGCCGCTCACACTGAGCCTGGTTCTGCTGGAGGTTTCTTCCTGTTAAAAGGGAGTTTTTCCTCTCCACT